CCCATTTCCTCTTGTGTAGAAGGAGTTAGTTGGAGTTAAGTACATTGCGCAAGGATACCTGATAAAACAATGTATGTAAAACAATCCAGTGATTGACAGTCCAGAATGATATTGAGAAAATAACTACTTATAGAAAGTGAAAGAGAATTTTTAAAATTTTTAGAGTTTTCCATATTTCAGAAGGATAATTTGCCGTTTAGAATAATGTCATTTTAGGAATGGGTAGAAACGACACGCCAATATACGTTTGTGGTATTCGATATTGTTTTAAATTGGTTACCCACATTTCATTGCAACAATGTGAGACAAATTGGAAATTTTCTGGAAGATCACATTGTCAAAAAAATATGATGTTGTCTAATTTACTTTTGGAACCAACAGGATGTGGGTCCATTGTAATTTACCGACTACTCTATTATATTTATAGTGTGAATAATAGACGTTGGATACCGAATACAATCTGCTGATATTAATAAGAGTAAAGATTTACTATTTATAAAAAATCTGAATTTCAGACTTTAGAAGAATCTGATAATTTTCTGTTGATTCGCTTTGAATGCTAGAGAGCGTGATATATTCTTTTCCCACCCCAGAAATGAACTTTTTCGCGAAAAACTCGATTTAGAGCATTTGTCGGAGGAACTAACATGTGTGCAGTCACAGTTTGTACTATAAGTTCCTTAACATTTTACCGTTTACTTTTTATAATATCTAAGGCATAAAACTATCATGAAAGCGTACCCACAAGTAAAAACTTCTAGTGCATAAAGTGGCCCTGTTTAACTTATACAATTGACCTATAACTTGTTGAGCATTTGGTCATAGTTATTATAAAACTGTGGGTTTATGTCTGTAAATCCACACTTTCAGGCGAGTGTTTCGGACTTGTTCTTCCGTAACGAGAAAGACACACGATAAAATTCAAAGATTCTACAATCGGATGCATTGCACGCGCGTAAATAATTGATATTGAAATGAAATGAACTTTCTAAATCCTTCATCTCCAGAACCGCTATCGCAAGTCGCAATATTTTGGTTGTTAAAGGTTCTACCTGCTGCGGTTAATGCTTTGGAGTCGAGCCCCTTCCATGGCCAACTTTGACCAAACGTGTGCCATTGTATCTGATAACAATTGTATTGGCTTATATTTCATCCATCTACGTCACGAAATTGGTTCGTCGCCAGAGGGCGTGCGTTATGGGAACGGTGGCGCCGATGGACGGTTTAGTTTAAACGATTCTTTGAAGAAAAAGTATGAAGCCCAAAACATATGAGTCCTCTCTCCAAGTCGCGGGGTTCTACATGTAAACGATGGGCGAGGTAGTGTCAGTCGTTTCCGCCGGGGAAGTGCTGGAGTACGTTCGCTGAACACAAACTGTAAATGTCAGTGCCACGGGATTTAAAAGTATGGTCACAGTCCCTCTATCTAGACCGTAGTGGACTTTGTCGATATTAACCCTGGTGACGTTAGCTGTGACAATTCACCAATAGTGTTAAACCCCGGTGTTAAACTTGACACGGGAATTTCATTTACATACATATTGTGTGTTAATTAAATAGAATACTATTGAATCTATGTTACGGTCCCTTGATGAGCCAGGTCATTGTATTGTTGTCGTTGCTGTGTGTGTAGTAAATGATGACAGCATTCAACAAACACGTCGAGTCAGGTAGGTTTAGGCCTTCATCACAAGAAAATAACCACAGATACCGATATATTGGATTAACCCCAGTTCCTGAACTGTGAACAAACAAATATGGACAGTTCGGGCAGTTCAATTGGCGATACGAACGTCCAAGTCAGACCAACGCTACTACGAGCCCTTAGCAAAAGCTCCGTAGATCTGTACTCGCACTACCGACGATTCTCGATTGAAACTAAGGACTGCCTCCCGAAGACACCCGCACGATCCCATTTGACGTTAGCGGGAGACGGCTTATCAGCTCCATTGTTGAACAGTTCTCAACTTGAACAAAAAAGGTCTTCACAGTCATTCTTGTCCCCGATTTTCCCCCGTCTATCGATCCCCCAAAATGGTTACAACACGCCGCTGGAAACGTCGCTGTACCGGCTTGCACGGCATGGCAAGAAGCGACTTAAGCGACCATGGAAGTCGAAAGTCTCGCCAGACAAATGTGATGAATCTAATCTGTTGCGTGATGCGCCAAGTCAAGAACCTGAATTTGGTATTTCTAAACAACGAAATGGTGATAACGATTCATCACAACAGAGTATCTTACCGAAAATAAAAGGTGAGCTTTCCATTTACAAAAAATGTTCCGTCGAATTGAAAACAGTTATCTGAAAATTTGATGGGAATGTTTGTGACACAAATAATGAAGTACACCATAGACCCTCGTATAGCTAATGTTGAGACACAGCCTGTGCGCAGGCACGGTTACTAAAAAAAGACGGTTAGTAACCGTGGTGGAGGTATTGTGCTAGCACAAGCCACAGTCCGAGTACAAATGTATATTGTTTCTAGTATTACGTAACACCGTCACCAGTGTCACGGTGTTAGCGTGTTGATAGTCTGACTTATTTTTCTGGCGGCGGTTCTTCATTGGATAAAGATGAGAGTCCTAGATCAATATACTTACTTACGTACTAAATAAGACATAAATGAAATCAGCTAATTAATTGATGCAAACGAAAAAATAAATTAATATTTTAGTGGCGCTTCAGAAAATTTAACCGCCTGATGTGAAGCATTTTTTTTGTTTGTTATGAAAGTAAATCCATATATTGAGATTAAAATGACTTATTATAGGTGTCGGTAACCACCAGCAATTTATGGTTCGAGGCGTAGCCGAGGGAGAAGAAAGCCTTGATGATTCTATGGCGGTGTCACCCACGTTAGCAGCCAAAAATCCAGGCTCAGAAGAAGACAAATATGGAGTCGAACCACAAAGTGCATCTAGGTACAGAAATTAAATCTTCAATCGAAGTCAATAAGTTTCAGTGTGGATCAGGAAATTTGGCATCTATGAACCTAACCTTTCTCTGTAATCGTCGCGTTTCAAAATTACATGCCATGCGCGGATTTATGGGGAGGCGCACCAACCCCCACCCCACCCCACCCCCGTTCGGCTGGCAAAACAATGACAAATCAATTGACGTACCCAGGGATTCAATAGCCCCCCTCCCCCCGTTACCAAATTTCTGGATCCGCCAGTGAATGCAACTACAACAACAACACTGTATACCCAATTTACAAGTCACACGTAAGCTTGTGAATCCACGTCACTTCTTCAAAGCTCAGACTAGTAATACTTAATGTATTACTAGTCTGAGTTCAAAGTGACAACACACAGCAATATATGAAGTGTTATTCATAGTTAATGCGGGTAAATGATTCGGTGTTGTAAAATATTAAAGTGTTGTAAATTGTATGGCGTGCGCGCAAACTAGTATCACGGGGTAAATTCTCTTCACGGGGCACTCCACACTTGTCAGGGGGGGAACTCGTCTCGTCTCTCTATCTCGTCCCCTTGAGGTACGGGATCGGGAAAGTCACTTATACTTTACAGTCAAATAAGACACACACAACGAAATACGTTTCAGCTCTCGTCTTAGTCGATCTTTTGGAGCACTCTATAAGACACAGCGCCCTGGGGAAAAGTCCCCAAGACTCTCACAAGGCTGAACCAAGACTCTTTTAGACTGCGTCAACACTCGTCCCAAGGCTCTCCAGGACTGCACTCTCTCTACTGCGTCTATCGTGCTGTGCTCCCCAAGACCAACTCAAACTCTCTTTATTCATTTTCAAAACTCTAACCAATTACAAAACAGTAAAAGACTCTAGGGCGTAACCTTCAATCATAAAGCCAATCACACTAAGTACTGAATACGTCATATCTTTTCATTAATCGTTCACTACATTAATAACTATGGATGTAAACTGTCAGAATGAGTAGTCTAAAAAGCGGCGGTTATCTGGTAATTAGTTCCAAATCACTGAGCCAAGTTCCGTCCAAAACTTCAAATAGACCTAAACGATGACAGACATAACACAGCAATTCGCTAATAATCAGCTAATTATGTCGGTCAACAGATACGCAAAAACAAATTCATGACACTAGCGATATTTGAATACAACTATGCAAACGGTTCATTTTTAATGGTAGACTCGATTCATGCGTAATTGAGAATTTTGGTATTTCCTCCAACAGTGACATTGTGTGTGATACAAACACTTTTACACGTAACGTGTTACTATGTAATTCATACGATATCAAATAAAACTATCTGTATTCATATATATTATTCTAGAAACCCCGTCCAGTCTAGACTGTGGCAAAGGCGATTGAATAGTGCTATTTATGGCCAACTGCAGGAAGGTGGCGATGGTAAGGACATTATTTATTTTCATTTTATTACATTTTATTATTTTCTAATCAAATAAAAACAAATGTACGTATTCTATACATTTTTAAGTTTCTTGTATGTTTGTTATTTTTTTAGACAACAAAGCAATTTCGTTGGTTGCCAAAACGGATAACGTTTCATCCAACGACGCTATATTGTCAGGCGACTTCAGAGTTTTGAAGGCTTTCCTTAATTCAGACGACGCGCCATCCCAATCAAACGGAAGTTCCCAGCACCTCAACATTCTCCAGAAACACAAGCGAGTAGACGAAATGCTAAACGATCTTTGCAATTTCACGAATGACCCCAAATCAGTGTTGAACTTGAGCAGAAGTGATGGTAAAACAGCTTTGCATCTCGCATCAGCCTACGGAACGGTGTTATTTGTGAGAAAGATCCTATCGCTTGGAGCGATGGTGGATGAACGCTGCATGGCGGGGAGGACGCCGATCCACGATGCTATACTGTCCGATAACGAAGATAAAGAAGATATTGCAGCGGTTCTTTTAGAAGCAGGTAAATATACTTAATATGTCAGTCTGTAAATTGGGTGCGACCTATAAAAGTTCTCGCCCACCATAGTGTTTTTCCGCCGCCACTCGAAATATTGGGAGCCATTATTTGCATATTCATGAATAAACGCCATGAAATCAAATAACCAATCAGCAGCTTGTTTAGGGTGAGGGCACTGGTCGTTTGCTTCTTCGGGGAAAGATTGGAAGGGTTGCAGGCTGATTGGTGAATTTGCAACCACAGGGTGCCGCAAAAGGCCGGAATTTCACGTAGATGTACAACTAAACCTCACTGGACAATCAGTAACGTTTTTTGCATATGCCCACCCACTGCACTGTTGTGAATATCCACTTGTTCAGAACTGCAATTCCTCTTTTTTAATTCTATACTTTCACAGGGGCAGGCACCAACATAACAGATAAGGACAAAATGGCAGCCATTCACCACGCTACCAATATTGGCAACGAGAATATCATAAAGAAACTATTGCAGAAAGGGGCGAACGTTATGACTGTAAACAGCATTGGCCAAACTCCGCTACATTTAGCAGTAAACCACGGTCCCCCGGTCCTCGAGTCTCTCTTCAGCGGCGGACCAGGCAGGGACATACCCGACGTGAACGCCCGCAGCAGCGATGGTGTAACGCCACTGCATTTGGCAGCTGTAGTTGGAAATATTGAAATTATGGAATTGTTGCTCAAAAAAGGAGCAGATCCCACAATTGCCGCCGGGAAATGGAAGGAATCTGCGCTCGAGATGCTATATCACAACTGCCTAATAAAGTTAAAACAGGTAAACATGTGATCGATAAACATCCGGGACACCGTGTCTCCTTCATGAACACGCCTATTTTTGGCGTTCGAATAATTTATACGGATGAAATAAACGTATCTTATCTCAGGTGTTCAGAGATTATATCTTTGGCAATTTCCTTTTATATAGGATGAGATGGCGTGCAATATCAGGATCGCTCAGCAACTATCGGATGACGCCCTCATCGTAGCTACACCTAGGCCAATAAACACATCTTTGCATTTCGCGACTGTCTTTAGGTCCATTGCTGTTGCCAGTCCGGTAAGTAGGACACAATTTCATTGGCCCTAGACACATTTAGGGAAAATCAAAATAATTCAATTTGACCAGGATTCCACTCATCCCAAGAAAAAAAGGACTCTGAGGAAAATTATGCTGAGAACTACGACAATCTTAAAGTGATTAGTGGCCTCGTTCCCAAATGTATACCCTTTAATTTTAATAAGCAATACTATTCCAGATGCATGCCGGTCAATCAGTTGACAAATGACGTCACGGCCCGTAATGTTGTCTTCATATATGTAGCGGAGAGATAACATATGCTGTTTTCCCCGCAGGATTTATCAGATGGCTACGAACGCCTATCAAACCAGATGGACTGCTTAGCTGTAAAGTTGATGCAGCACTGTCTCAATAGAAATCATGCTCTTTCACTGGTGGAAGAAGACGGAAACTATTTGTTGAACTACGCCCTCAAGTACAAACACAAGAAGGTGAAGCTTACGATTGTGTGTTAGACATTTCACATGAAGGGGGTAGATTTGGGAAAAATAACGTAATCAGCATCTTATTCTTTTTTTTTCAGTTCATTTCAGTTCCGGTGGTGCAGAGATTATTGCATGGTATCTGGCATGGTTCGATTCTCAACTACGTTACCTATCCGGAAATATCACAATCCTGGCCGTATTTTGTATTGTTCTTCTTTACTCCAATTCTATACCCTATTGCCTTGATCCTCTACTCGATCACTTGGTTACTAGGTGTATGTTGCAGCTGCCATAGCAACGGAGGAGACTTGAATGGCGGAGGAGGTGGATGTTGTCGATGCAGTTGCTTTGGAAACAAACTCTACAAAGCCTTTCGGGAAGCGTTAGATTCGTATTTCCAGTTCGTGTCAGAGATCGCCCTCAACTGCCCTGCAGTGAAATTCCAGGGAAACCTAATGTCTTACAGCGTCTTTTTGATGTTGTTATTTATTAAAAGTCAATATCTACTGATCTCGACTACTTACATAGCTTACATTGACGCACTGCTGTTGGCGTTTTTGATTGGACAGCTTCTAGAAGAAGTACAGCAATACAGGAACGAGAAATCATTCTGGTTGTACGTCAATAAATCTGGCAACGTATTTGACTTTATTAATATCATCGGGCAACTGACATTGAACATCGTGGGAAATGTGGTCTCTTACCACTCATATGACGTCATCAGAATCTACGGTCCTGGAATTGAAGTTGGAATGGCGTTGATAACCATTGTAGCCTGTATAAGGTAAATTTCTAAACAAATGTGATTTTAAAATGGTAAAGAGAAAAATGTGTTTGCAAGAAGGTGTGGATGTTGCAACTAATTCTTACGGTTTAAAATAATATCACTGCAATTCAGAAATATTTTTTGGAATTTCTGAACGGCATACGTTTTCTGGGGTGTATTTTTCTTTTGTTTGTAGACTACTATATTTCGTAGAAGTGAGCAACCTCCTGGGGCAGATGCAGATAACGTTTGTGAGTATGGCTAAAGATTTCTTTCTGGTATTCGCATTTCAAGCATCTGCCTTGGTGGCATTTGGCCTGGTATTAACCAAGGTAAGTCACCGAATCTCCGTGTACAAATCAGTATCCGATTTATACATTTACCAGTATTTCTCCAAGGCAGCAACACTCATCTTTAAGATGATTAACTTTCATTTAACTATTAGGTAGTTAAGGTGGTGTTGTCATTTACTTCTTACTTGTTATGTCCGAACAATTGTTGAAAACAAATTAAAAAAAAATAAAAATTAAAAATAAACGGACAAAAATTAAATCAAAACGGACATTAGTACGATAACGCACATTTTGTCTATTTTTTGTAGTCCATTTTTAATATATATATATATATTTTTAATATATATTTAATATATATATATTTTTAATATATATATAAAAATTAAATCAAAACGGACATTAGTACGATAATGCACATTTTGTCTATTTTTTTTGAAGTCCATTTTTAATATATATATATATATTGCAACATTCATTGTTGAGGCTATGTTACATTAAATTAATTGGCACTGTTTATATGAATTATTTCACGAATATACTTTCCAGGTGTACTCCCTTGCGGTAATATCTTCTCACAGCATAATTACAAATATCACCGTAGAGAATGCTGTATTGAATGCCACAAGTACAGCCCTGAGTGAAAATGCCACAGCCGACTTGACAGAAGTCGACAAGTATCTTCTTTATGTTCAAAACAGTACAAACTCGTAAGTAGGAGGAAGGGAAAATGTACGTCTTTGATCACTATTCATTATAATCTGTGGTGTTTTATAAACTAGCGGAACTAGAACCTTACAGCTGGAGGGTCGTCACCTGCGCACGCGCGGGAATTGAGTCCCAAGCGACGATAACAACACACGCTAAAACGCAAAGGCTCATGGGTACACGCTTGTTTGTAAACAGTAACACGCTATGACCATCTGACGCATGCGCAGGTGACGACTCCCCCGCTTTGAAGGGCGCGGTGGTCGTCGCGCCGCGTCGCGTTGGATATGGGGGGGGGGGGCATAGCAACGTAGACAACGTGA